TATATATAGGTAGTGTTAGAGTATGAAGATTATCAGAGTATAGAAACAAGAGGAACAGAATAGTACTTACGCTTATTGACGAAGCAGGGCAGGTATGTGTGCCGTATTGATGAAGGAGCGTAAATGTATATATGCTGTATCAACGCAGCAAGGAAAGTGTGTTTGCTGTATCGACGAAGCAGAGCAAGTGTTTGCGTGATGCCAATGTTCTGCTGTCGTTGCGCGAACTGGCAGAGGCATGGCAGCAGGCAGCGGCAGGGACAGCGTGAGGGGAGGGGGCCCAGGAAGCAAGAAAATATCGGGCCTTGATATAGAGTATCAAAATAAACTTAGTAAAGATTTCCCTAAGCTTAGGCTAGATTTACCTAAATATTTTTATCGCTTAGGATTGAGATCTTGAGTTTTCTTTCCTCTTCTGGGGGAAAGGCTCGAGATCTGGTGCAACGATGAGCTGGAGCTGCTGCTCTCGAAACAGCACAGGACAGTTGGCATGTGAAAATAGTGCTTGTATTTATCGACGAAGCAGGGTAACCAAGGTAATGTATGTATTTGCTGTAGATATCGATGAAGCAGTGTAAAAATGAGTGCGCGATGCTAATGTCGTGCTGTCGTTGCTCTTTTCCAATCTCCTCATGGCAGGGCATTGGGAAGGCGTTGGGATTGAGCAACGACCGCCCATAATTAGAGTGGGAAGGAGCAATACTAGCACCACCAAAGAGAGAAAGAGCAAAGTAGCTGGTAGTTATAAATCAAGATTGATGTAAAATAATACTTCAAATTCCAGAGGTCTAACATTTGGTATAGATATCGAATGGATTATATGCATTGTGATCCTCCCCATTGCGAACTGAAGGTCAATATCACAATAAATAAGGCATAACCACGCGTTCGAATCAATCAATAGTGAAGAACAATGCCACCAAAAGGCATACTGACTATACCGTGGGTATGGTTAATCGTATCGTGACAGGGAATCATATATCAGTCACATGTGATTTATTCCAATTTACTACGAGATTGAATGTATACGATGTTGACGGAACTTACGTAAGGCAAGGATTTTTTAATAAGCATAAGTGCTGCCAATGTCCATACCTACCTACCTTAGTTGTTATTGCATTTAAAGTAATTGCACAAGAGAACTCGTTACACGAGATACAGGATCCAACGATGGATGGTAAGGTCAGCTTATGGTACGTCCTGAAAGACTTTCTGTCACTAACAATACTCTTGTCGTTAACAGATGCCTGTCTATACCACTCGAATGTAGAGTCGGTGGATGGCACACTGCCTGAGCGGTGGTGCTCCAAATTCAGTTTGAGCCCAGATCAACACGGAGAGTTTAGCAAAGGAAACGAGCTGCATTAATAAACTCAGAATAAAACAATATCTCCGTTGAACGGCTTTATGTAAGAGTGTTTAAGAATGAAACGGTCAGTGAAGGGGGTTATTGGATCCAAAGAAAGATTGCCGATGCCGTTTTTACAACTATGACAGGTATTCTAAGCGACAAGCACCCGATATGCATGCCATGTTATATGACATATCTACTTACCCACGCTGCCTTTAACCTTACTGATGTCTTACGTCGCAACACATCATAGCCAGTACAGCTGACAGTGCACCTTTGTGGCTCGTGGAAGTGAGGGTATATATTCATATTACTCCTTGCAGGAGAAGGTCTATTTGCGTTTATACATAATGTTTCATGACTAGTAACTCGCTAGCTGAAACAAATACAATGCCTCTAGGGCTGGAATCATAACACAACGTTGATTGTCAGGAAGTTCTCCTACATCATCAGACCGCCAAAGAGGGCAGCAATGGCACCGCTCATGAGACTCCACTGGATCTGTCCTCGAGCCTCGATACCGGCGTTGCCGCTCTCTGTTGCTGAAGCACTGGCAGCAGTTCCGCTCTCCGTAGCAGTGGCGGTAGCGGTACCAGAGGCAGAACCTGAGGCGCTTCCTGTCTCAGCAGCTCCGAATGTGCCTCCTCCGGTAGACTTGGGAGCAGAGCTATCTTCAGAGTCGGCGGCAGCCTTGGCGTAGTTGTCAAAGCTCTTAGCACCGCTGGTACTATTCGTTTGTTAGCATATGTAATGTTGATTACAAGATAGTGCAACTTACGGAGCATTTATGGCCCCTACCATGCCCCCTTGACAATGTCCTTGGACAGCGCAGTAGTACCAGATGGGATCATCGGTCTTGACCTCGATGGTGAAGACCTTATCGCTAACCTTGGTCTTGACATTCTGGTCACCGCTAAAGAAGGCAGTGCTGTTGATGGGCTCACAGGGCTTGGCGAAGCTGCTCTGGGCAACGGAGTGGAAGCCTTCATAGAAATGGAACTCGACGGTATCTCCGGCCTTGGCGGACGTTTGAGCAGGCGTGAAGTTTAAACCATTCTCACCGACCTTGACGACGTGGACGGCGGCAGAGACGGTGCTGGCGGAAAGGGCCAAAAGCTTGATGGGAGAGGCATGCATTGTGAAGATGGTGAAGATATGAAGGTGGTGAAGTTGAGGGTGGTCACGTGGTGGATGTGAGGGTGCAAGTGTTTGTTGATGATACAATCCCATTCTTGGTAGTTCATCCCTCCTCTTTATAGTCATTCCAACTGATGTCAATTACATGAAGTCGAACTTAACTTTGGCCTCGCTGTAGGGTTCTCTAGGGTCGTCTGCTAACCTCAAACCAGGATGAAGCACAGGGGCGGCCGCCCTACCCCAAACATTCATTTAGCAGGCTAGGCGGGACAACAAACAGTGAGACTGAGACAGCCACTCGGCATATGCATACAGATCCAGGTGCTATGCTAGGTTTCCAGCGGCTCCGTATCGTCGCGGACAGTTTGATACCCCCGAACCAGAATTGGTTTCGTTTAGTGTTTTCTGTTTGACCTTTCTCCTCGAAACTCTCTGAGCGCTAGATCAAACCGGGCCCCAGACCGAGCCGAGACTCCCTGTGTAGCAAGCCATGAAGCGTCCGGCACTTTGATGCCGTTGAGCGTGCACTCTGAAGCGCCCTGGCTTACACGTTTCACTTGTGCGCCAATGGAGGTAAGCCACTGCCGTGATATCCAACATTGTATTGGGCATTGAGAGGCTACAAGTATGCTGACGTTGAAATGTATTCATAGATCTCACTGTGCGCTTTGAGGTGCGGAATATTTCGCCTGGATTGTTTGTTGTGTATACCTGACGTTAAGCGCTGGTCCTTTTGGGTTCATCGAATACGAATCCCACATTCTCGCCGATTTTAAGACAAGCATATTCGCAATTCAGATCTGAACGGTCGAACTACCGAAGCTAGCAGCACCCCAGGCATCCCTAGCCCCCGGTTCGCTTGGTATACGGTTAATGCTATCGATGTTGTCGAAAGCGAGGCCTCCGAGAAGGTGTGCAATGTGCATTCTCTCGTGTCAGACTCGGGATATGTCACCGTAGTTTGGCGACATTGTAAGTTTGTGACTGTGGTGATGCGGATACGAGTCTTGTTTGGCCCTTGGCTCGAAACGGCTGGCAACATCTCGACTAGTACAAACACAAAGGAAGGACTTGTAACATTGAATGGTGTAGGGGGGATGATTCTCAAACTCCAGGAGCAGGTCACTACAGTTTTTCCGATAGCATGTTGTCTTGACACAATGTTGCTCTGGTATGTTGCACTTCTTCGCAGCATAACAATAACGTGCCAATTTACATGATGAACGCCGAGATCCGCGAAAATACTACTGCAGCTTTATTGGATACGACTGCAAGTTTCGGTGAAAGCTGTCAGAAGCTCCATGTAGTACTCCGTATTCTCGTCGGATATCTCGCGTTCTATGATGCTGACCGAGGCCTTACCCTAAAGGCATCACCACAATTACTACCTGGTTGGCACATCCAGGCCCATTGTTATCCTCGGGCATGAATTCTCGATGTAGAAGCTATAGGAATTATACTTCACGCTTGTCATCGCTTGTCATCGCTTGTCATCGTAGAACACGTGGTGAGTATAGCGAGGCTAGGGAAATATTTTATTTTGCGGTCCTGCGCCACGATCGATACGTAAGTCTTGAGGTTTATAATATTTTAGTAAATCTTAGTTAAGTTGTTACCACTGGCACGGTTCAAGTTTCTAGAACAATCATGGCCGGCGGATGCTTTATAAAACTAAATCGTAGGCTTAAATGCCCAATTGAGGTAATCGCCAAGGCGAACTCGAACTCAAAGGAGATGAAGCTCTCCACATGCAGCCGAGCTGTTATAGCTCAGCACTTTCCGAAATGTGAGCAGCACGGAGCAGCTAGGCAGCACCTGAGCAATCACGTGCAGCTGCCCATAGCTCCTGTTGGCCTAGCAACCTGATGTAGTCAATAGCGCACGGGCCACCCAAAAACTCCTCTATATAATCTCGAGCTGCCTCTCTTCTTCTGCTCCTCTTTTCCTTTCTTCTTCATACTTACCTTGCTTGGAGTTTCCTCGCTCAAGAATGAGGAACCTCAGTGTGTGACGGCCTGCATTGCACATCGCGGAGTCGTCCGCACTTCATTGTCCTTCGGGGCCATGAGAGGCGTAATTTTTGATTTATAACCCATCTTTCATTGTGTGCTCAGCTTGATGCTGGGTCATGAAGAAGGATTTAGATAGAAACAATGACATGTCTACGCGCTGCGAGAGTTGCACACATCGGGAGGCAAATATGCGGCCTGTAAAGATGGAAAACCTGAGATACCTACCCTCCTTGTTGTGAAGGTACCTTCCATTCTGTCACAGTGATAACCTCCTAAACGGCTGGCAAATTGCAAGGACGCGATCTTGGGCGCGAAACGCAGCGGCAATGAACTGTTCATAACCCGTACTGATGTCACGAATAGATAGATAATGGATGTTGTGTTTAATGGAAGTTGTGTTCATATTAACTCAAATCGTAATCCGACACTCCGTCGTGATAACCCCACATAATTCCATTCTTCCTCAACTCCCGAAGTTATCGTGATATCGTCGTGATTCCTTACTGCTTCTTCCACTGCCCAGCATTCTCAACACCCTTGGAGATGCTGTCGAGTCCGCCCTGAACGCCAGTTCCCAAATTGCCAATTCCATCCCCGAGAGGGCGGCCAGCGTCGCCAGTCGCGGAGGTTACGGTGTCTCCTAAACCTCTTGTTGCGGCTCCGGTCACATTTCCCACTGTACGGCCCAAGCCTCCTACAGTGTTTCCCACGGTGGAGGTGAGGAAGTTAAGACCTCCTCCAACGGTTTCGCCGACGTTACCCGCTGGGTTGTTGCTCTTATTGTTCGAGTTCATAACGACGGTTGTGGTTTAGTTTTGAAGGTGTGATGCTTGTGTGTAGAAATTTGTTTTGAGGCTTGAGATCTTGTAGACTGCGAATTAATAACTCTGAAATCAGTGGAAAGAAGCCTCTCTTAAATAAATCTACTCTTCTCATCGGAATCTCAACAATATCTTGTCCTGTAAATCATCAGCCAGGTTATATCACCAGATGACGTCAATCCGTCAAAGTGGGCCGCATTCATTGGATCAATATATAATCACCAGCCACACAGCCATCCCTCCCGCACCTCTAAAATGACGTCCCTCGACACATAATTACGCATTCCGGTGTTTGAGACGCATGCAGAGGTGTCCCTCATCAGTGATATTATAGGGCAGAAGAACACTACTAGCAGGCATGCCCCGACAATTCCCACGGCGAGTTTATGTCATATTCTGGCCCTTGGACCCTTGAAAGGCCGGAGAGATGCCCTTTGTGGCGCATTATCCGTTAGCTGTCATATTGTGAGGCTGTGACTGGTTGAGCAAGAGAGTCGCGACTTACATCGTGCAGGTTTCGATGCGCACCTTGAGATCTTTGTGCGATGCGAGATGTTGAGTTGCATCGTCATGGCGACAAGATCTTGGAAGGCTATGACGTTGGACGCGCACGCAGGAGCACCATGTGAATAGATGTGTAATGTCATAGGAGGATGTGGAAAAATCAATATGGGCATGATCATCATGCCCGGCTTTTAGTTATGCTGCTCTAATAAAACTCAACTGAACCAAGGAATGCGCTACCTAACCAATGTTGAACTCGTCTGCCGCGGAATTCATGAGCATCATACTCTTCTTCCTGATAATGTTCTGGTTTTGTCTCTCATCTCCAGCTGCCTGTTCTGTATTCTTCTCGACACCCTTATTCGTCCGCTTCTTAGTCTTCCTCTCCACACCTGCGCCAATGCCGCCAGGTGCTTCTCTCAGACCGTAGCTCTTTGCCGTGTGTCCCAGGTGTAATTCTGAAATGTCAAAGTGCTTTCTCTCTTCCTTGGTATGCGTAGCATATGCCCTGATGTGGGACTTGAAGCCATTTCGAGCAAGCTCTAGTCGCTTGGTGTCCGTCAGGAGCCGTTGCTCGATGTGCAGCTGAAGGGCCTCCGCTTTGTCGTGGAAAGACTGTCCATCCTCCGGTTTCGCGGATGTCTCGACCGGGAATTCGAGTTTCGTCATCATTCCCTTCTGGAGAATAGAGTCGTACGATTGCGGCGTTGGTGGTGTTGACGCTTTCAAGAGTTCGATATATCCTTCTTCAGTTCCGGGGAGCAGGAATAATAAAGCATCACCAGGTCGACCAGCACGAGCAGTACGACCAACACGATGGATATGATCGGCGAAACTGAACGCAGGGTCATACTCGATGACCAGATCGACCGACGGAATATCAAGACCACGCGAGGAAACATCGGTGGTGATCAGAAGAGATGGAGACTTGCAAGCTGAGAAGGATCGCAATGTAGCTGTACGAATGGGCTGCGACAAAGATCCGTGCATCCTGTGCAGAACAACCTCGGGACTTGCTGGTGAAGTGATGTATGCTGCTTTTGCCACTGTCTTCGAAACCGACTCTGCATCCTTGGAGCCTGCAACAGGTGCCTCATTATTATTCGGGTCTCGCAACAGTTCGTAGTGGAAGTCGACAGAGTCGGCACATGATATGAAGATAATGGCCTTCATGGTCTTTCCACGCCGAGAGAATGTCGCCTTGAGGTACGAGATGAGGGTAACGAGCCGTAGCTTGGCCGGGACAACCGAGTAGTACTGGTGAAGCTGTGCGGGCGCCTTCATTTCCGTCTTTTCCACATCCAGCTCCATCTCCTTCTTTGCTGCCAGGAATGTCGCATCCGCCAAACTCATCTCTCCCAGCTTCTGCACGTTCATCTTCATTGTCGCTGAGCACAGCACTGTAACTCTTCGTTCGGGTAGGGCCGTGAGCAGTGTTCCATCGGGTAGTTTGTCGGATACGTCAACTGCCTTGATAGCCGTGATAACCTTCTTCAAGTCGTCCTCGAAACCCAGATCCATGAGTCGATCACCTTCATCAAGAATCAGCCATCGAACAGTGCTGAGGCTAAGTGCCTTTGTATTGTCGATATGATCAGCAAGTCGTCCAGGAGTAGCAACCAGAAAATTGACACCCTTCCGTATGCGAGCCTTTTCCGCCTTCTTAGATTCTCCTCCGGTAATTGCTGTCGAGACGAGCCATGGGAACGGTCGGATGAGCTTCTCTAGAACTGTATGAACCTGTTTTGCAAGTTCGCGAGTAGGCGCAACGATAATGGCAAAAGCACCAGAATCTCGATGAATCTGAGCCTTCCCCTTTTCGCTGAGAAGTAGAACACGATGCAAGATAGGTAACAGGTATGCCAGGGTCTTTCCGGAACCAGTTTCGGCCTGCACAAAGGCATCGGAGCTACTCGTCAACATATGCGGAATCACCTTGTTCTGAATAGCCGTGGGTCGCTCCAGGTTCATCTTGCCAAGCTCATCAACCAGTCGGGCAGAAATCGTCAATGTACCAAAGTTCGCAACATCTGATAAAGGCGCATTGGTCGCTTCGGGAGCTGTCCATTCTGGCTGCTTCTCCTCCTCCTCTGTCGTCTGTGCGGGGTTGAATGAGAAGAGTCGGGAGATGACTTGTCTAGATTTGCGATCTGGCTGCTGGTTGCGAGGTTGGCCTGAGCCTCCATGGCCATCGTTGTCTGTGAACTTCGGTCGCGAACCATGTCTGTTGAATGCTTTGTAATCGAATGAGTGGTCCCCTCCCCCATCGTCCGTTCGTTGGCGTTTTGACGACCTGCCTTCATCGAATCCGTCCCCAGAAGGTTTGGCTTGCGGTGTCTTCCCAGAAGCTATCCTTGCCGACTTCTCTGCCTGCTTCCTGTCACGCCATCGACCACCCTTAAACTTGACCTGAGGCTTAATTGGACCTGAGCCTAGGTCAAAATTTAGAAGCATTCCATCGTCAGCCATGATTGCGATGTTGGTGTCGCTATAGAGCCTTCACATGGGTCATAATATTCTCGATACAATGCGCAAGAAAAAAAACAAAGAGTGGAGTATCTTATCTTATCTAAATTCTATCGATAAGGATTGTGGACGCTGTCTAGACTCTCAGATCTCAGCTCTGCCCTGGCTGGCTTCATGGTTACAGGTTGACAGAGTGAACTAAAAAAAGATAAAGAAGCTCCTTCGTAAATCCGAAGCAAAGTTGTCATGACGGAAACTGAAAACAGTCTCATGACCACTAACATCGGGAATCTAGACAATTCAGGGCACTCTGGGCGATGCACATCGATAAGTCCCGGGTCTACGCTGTCAAATGACCGACAGCCCCTTGAGTCATCTCAAATTCCCCGAGATTCCTCAAGAGGAAGAGATCGATACGAGATGACGCAGGAAGTTTAATGAGGCGCGACGAGGCATATTCTCGATCCCGCAGAATCGCGAATTCGGTCCGCGTAAGCAAAGGGAGGCCTTGCAAATGCCAATACTGCAACGGTCCTACTCCTTCATGTGATACGCAACGCAATCTTAATCTACGGCAGCACAAGCCCTTTGGTAAACCAGTGCTACGTCAGGTATGCGCAAACCGTGGGGCATCGAGGGTTGTAGTTACACGTCAACTACGAATGCCACAGATCTGACTTGTCTATATGTCATTGAGGATAAGGCGGTTCGGAGTAAAACATCACCCCTTCCATAAGCCGCTCGTAACTTTGCTCCGTCGTGCCGGGTGATCAGCATTTTGCATCCCGCTCCGGAGACGGTCACAGATTGATAAGCGATAGCCTATTGATAGCCGGGCGAACCATCAGATAGCACTCCAATCTCCAAATCTCCAAATCGCTAACTCGAGGACGGATATTCATGGACATAAAAAAGCGAAAATGCCGGGCATGTGCTTACACCCGATCGGACTCGGCTATTCACCCGTCATCTTAGGCGAGACCTCAAGGATGACAAGCGAAAAGCCAGGGGGATTTTCAGCCATAACCCATAGTGATCCGTGGCATCCGTTGTTAACGGGTATTTTTCGTTGATAGTGATCCTGTGACGGACCAGAATTGCAGCCCTGTGGCAGGACAGTTCTGCCACTCCTCCATAGCCCTGACTTTAGATGGCTGGGAACAAGTCTGGGACGGAACTCTGTATCATGGGCCAGTGTGATTATTGATGAATATTCATCATTATTTGAAGAACATTTGTCTTTTTATGGTAGCCCTTAAGACTAGATGCTTCTATGATAGTTAGTTTCTTGATGAAATTCTCAAGTGAAGCAAAACCAGAGCTTGATGGTTTTTTTTTCACATTCCTTATGAGGCTGGGACTGACAAGATGGTCGCTGACATTGCCACACTATAGACAATGACTGGTCATCATGAACAAAATGCTGGTTGTTCTAGAGAGGCTGTGGCTAGGGCAAACGGAACCCTGACGGAGTTGCACTACTTGCCCCGGCAGAGAATCCGGTGAGGCTTTGGGGCGTGAGTAGGTACAATATGGTACTTCTGATGCCTTTCTTGAAAGGTGCTGTGCGTTTCACTCTGTTGCAACAATGTAGCAGCTGACAGCTGGTATTTTCACACAGCCTGTTTGAGCTTACAACCCTTCGCCACACCTTGTGTAGACTCCACCAAACCCTCAATTTCGTGATGTTTCTTGGTGGTAATGGCACTAATTCATGAACGAAATTTTCAACAATATATGTAGCCGAGGATATCGCCAAATTTTTACGTTTGATATCAGTAATTCCACTATCATGAATGGTTCTTTGCTGAGATCCACCTTCACAATGCCCTGTCTGTCAACACAAAGATAGAAGTTAAACTGAATAAAATTGAAATACCCTTGTTAGAAAGCCCTTGGAGAAGGCTAGCACTTAGACAAGTGTCCTCTGGCGGGACACCTGGCAGTGACCCGACAGGCTGGACGTGGAGTTCCGGCTTCTCCCACGAAGTCTCAACGCTAAC